ACGGCATGAGACAGGCTGCCCATGCTACCGCGAGTGGCCAGGACCAGGGCCACGTGGACGCGGACGCGGACGCCAGGAGGAGACCCATGGGCGCCCAGATCGCTGATTACTTTCGCGGCGTGTTCTGAGCTACTTGCTACTGGTAACCAACTGGGCTGGTCGGCGTCTTGTTGCTGGCATGCATGGACGCACTTGTGCTATCCAGGTTTGAGTCAAACGGGACAGTACTATTCCTCCTATAGATTTTATTTTTGCATAGCGATGCGGAGCAGGGAGGCAGGGAGGGAGGAGCAGCGTAGCTTGTCTGGCATTCAACTCCAATCAATCACGCTTGATGGCAGGACACAGAAAATGGGCACTGTACATTTCGATGGAGTTTTCCCCCACAAACGGTGTCAAAGACAACCTCGGGCAGAGTAGCAGTGATGGATGGACTGACCTGCTCCCTCTCAGTACATGCCTTTCGGTCTCGAACTCATCAGAATATAGGCCAAGCAAGCATAACCAAAACAGCTATTCCGCCAACCTCCTCCGCTTCCTCGTGTTCCCAGACGCAACATCCCGATCCCGATCCCGCTCCCGCTCCCCTTCTTCCAGTCCACTCTCCTCCGCCGGCACATCGCTCACACTGGCACTAACACTTCCAACCCTCAAACCCAACCCTACCGCCAACCCAAGCCCTGCGCTACTCCTCGGCACATCATCAATATACCCCTGCTCGACACTCCGCCACTGCAGCACCGCCTTCTCCACACTTGCAAACATCTCCCTCGTATCGTGGATAATTCCACCTTCTTCCTCGACGGCGTAGCCCTTCTTCTCCACCACCTCAGCAGCAGCAGCAGCGTCATCTTCGCCATTTCCACCCCCACCGCCAGCATCGTCTGCTTCCTTGGATCTCGACTTGCGCGATCGGAGACGCTGATTCGTGCTATCTGTCAGCTTCTTGAGCTCCGGCGGAACACCTCGCTCCGATGGTGGCAAAGGGTTGAACATGACCGCATTGGCAAAGACGCGCATGAATTCCATTTCTAGCTGGGCGGAATTCACGATGCCTTTTGGTGGCGTTAGATCTTCTGTCTTGCTCACTAGGATTGAGCCAGACGGAGTGGTGGTGCTTGCTTTGGTAGTAATCGCCGCCGCAGGGCTCTCTTGACCGGCTTCAGCAGCCTTAGCATTTTCTAGCTCGTCGATCATGGCATTTGCGGCTCGACTCCCACGTCCAACGGCGGCGCGGATGCTTTTCAGGTCTTGCGGCCTGTAGATCAGATCCTTGTAGCCCGGTGCATCGCGTTCCGTCAGCGGTTTGGCGAAGATACCAGCGAGTTTGTGCGCATTAACGTCGTTCAGGATAGGTGCGGCCTTTCGAGCGAAGTTCCGGGTGATGGCAACAAGGGACGGGTCGGCTGGTTCGGGTCTTGGTCTGATGCGGCTGCCGAACGGGCGTGGGGTTGGGAGAGACGGGGATGGCGATGCATCCGTGCCCATCTCACGTTTGCGTTTGCTGCTGGTACGTGCAAGCTCGGATGCCGCTGGTTGCAGTCCATCACTTCGACCTCTTCGACGACCCGATGACCTCTGTTCGCTGTCTGAGGTGAGAGGGGCAGGAGTTGAAGGAGCCTCATGTTTGATCTTGCAACTGGCTAGTTTTGTACCCACAGCACGTCCAGGGTGGCTTTCCGACGCGATAGAAGCTGCAGACTGAGATCTACTTCGGGAAGCGAGGGCAGAAGATTGGGTACTACCTGCACGTCGGCCATGTAGATTGCGAGCCGGGACTCGCTTAGAAACAGCCTTAGGTGGACTGTCTTTGGGAGTCGTGTTCCGCTCGGCTTCTTTGCTTTCTTTAATCGGTTCGTCCGGTGATGGAGCGCGATCACTCAAAGGACTGACATCTCGTTCTCGAACAGGCCGTTCTGGGCTTCCTTGTCGAGTGCCACCTGGGGTCCAGGGTGTAGATGTTCTAGGAGCTCGGACGCCAGGACGATCGAGAGATCGCTTGACAGAAGGTGTAGTAACAACGGCGGGAGGCTGCCCTGACCATGGAAATGGGGCATATGGAGGAGTCTGACCATGTACCGGTGGATGCGGGTATGGCCCTGGAATGTATTGATTTGGGAGAGCTGGGTGATGGTAAGATGGATACTGATTATAGCTGGGCGATTGCGCTGGCGGTAGATTTCGTGTCATGGGATGCGGGGGATAGAATTGTGGGTTTGCATACTGCGACGTCGGCGAATTGTACTGTGGCCATGCTGGATAGGGATAGCCATATGGAGGCGGCTGTTGATACGGCGGGGAAGGTGATGGCAATAGTGGTGATGCCCGCGATGCACCAGTGCCAGAAGACTTCCTTGGAGCAGGGGATGTCTTTTGTGGTGGAGGCTGTGGCACTATGCTAGAAATCGGTGGCAGTGCATTTGACGACCGGGGCGATGTGGTAGATGGTAGGGGTAACGGTGGTTGCATCGGCGAATACCGCTGAGGAAAATTCGGCAGCTGTTGCTGGCCTGGCACCGGGATCGCGTGCGGTGGTACTGGCGACGCTTGTGATACTGGAGCTGTCGGACGTTGAACTGCTGCTGTAGCGGATGGAGACGGTGGAAACGAGGGTTCTAAACTGGGAGTTTGAGGCGGTAACATCTGCCCAGGAGGTGGGTGTTGAAGCCTGCTTTCTGCAAGCTGTGGCTGCTCTTCCTTCGATCTCGCTCCTGTGGTAGACATGCCATCAGGTGCAGGACGGGCCGTAGTGACAGGAGCATCCTTCGCAGGGAGAACGGATTCATCTGCATTAGAAGACGGTAGCTGGTCCGCAATAGAAAGCCCATTCTGGATGACCGCCTCCTCAGGCTTCCTTGCATCGCTATTTTCGTCTTCCAGGGATTTGATCTCGACCACTAGGGTTTGATACTTCTTCTCCTCATCCGTAAGTTCCTGTATGATGCGTTCCTTGTACCGCGAGTAGAAACGGTCTGCTATTTGCGATGCCTTCGCTGCTGTACCGTTATCCCTCCCAGAATCCTCTAGCGGCGCGGACAAGCTGTTATTCTGCGAGATACTTTCGCCTCCTGAATGGCTCTCATTGACCGCTGCTGATGTGACATCTTCCACGTTGATCAGCTCATCATACAACGATTTCAGCGCTTCAGGCGCAAGCCTCTGAGCGTCATATTTTTCATCGCTCTGCACGAGTCGGTTCGTGTTGAGCGAGAGCGAGATGGTAGGGAAGATAGAGAAGTCTGCTCCATTGCGCGCTATCGACTGGAGAAATAGTAGGCTTTCGAAAGGAGTGTATTGTGTTGAGATAGAAGGCATCCCATACTCGAATGTCTACTTGGCCTCGCTCGACCGGAAGTCGCGCGGAAGCGAGGATCAAATAGTCTATTCCCCAAGTACTGAAGCATGGAGCATAATGTGTAGCGACGCGTTCCTCGGGCGTGTGATCGAGCTTCTCTTTGTGGGTTGGGACTTGTCGTCAACTTTTCGAAAGATGTGCTGGTGAGATCTTGGAGAAATTTGAAGCCAGCCTACGCCATAACGAAGTTATGGGCTCGGCGGTGGACAAGGAGCCTAATTACCGAGGCCAGAGGGCCACCATTACAATTCCCGGAGTCAATATTACGGGCGTAAAAGCAATAGACACCTAGAGAATCACAACGTATTCACGAGGTATTCTGTTCCACTTTACACCTCCACCTCCGCATGACAGTGTATCTGACTACTTGTTAAACGTATCGACACAAGGCATTCTTGAGTTCAGCATTACAGGTTGTAAGCATCTTCCAACCTATTGCTGTTTTCTATGTATGCCGATATAAGTTCTTCAACGCTTTGTCTTGCTAAGAGGTTGGTGTCATACTTAGCTAGTATTTCACCTTTTTCATCATTATGGTTACTTAAGTATAGTTAAGCAAAGCACATGATTATTTACCCTGACGCGTGCTTTGGTAGAAAGGTGTGGAACAACTCCACAATCAAAAGGTGAGATAAGCACGCCAATAGGGAACCACGATCAGGGCCCTCATTTGTACGTATTCCCAGGGGCATTTCAATCCCGCTCCTTTACCTATCAAACTGAGCGCTCGCAAGGGTTCACCTTGTCCCCATCCCACAGCTTCGCCGTGTGAGGGTCGCCCGATTGCTCACCTACCTTAGCGCCTTCTGTCCTCATGCATCAGATTATGGAATGGCAAGTCCTGGTGACATACCCCGATTCCCGTCTTCTCGCCGTAACCCACCTTAGGGTTGATCTTACCTTTCTCTCGTCAAACTATCCAGTCCGGACTGTTCTGCCAATGTCTACCAGCTTGTGCATCCCGCCTAGCGATCGTGGTAATATGCTTGGCCGTACGCTTACAACTGTGCGAAGGAACTGACGAGAGGAGTGCTCCATGAGGTAAGCATCGTGCCATGACGCACCTGGTCAAATTGGACAAGAAGGAGATGCCACATCTGCCTGGAGATACATGGAGATTGATGTCCTGGCAGGCGGTAGCCTTGAAACCGAGGAAAGAGTCTGTAATGGTGGCTGCTGCACTCCATCCGGGATGCAATATTTCGAAGAGCGTGCTTGCGGAAGCGTTTGAGATTGCGAGGACACAAAACCGTTTTCAGATAACGAGAAGCGTAACTAACAGTGGCTGTAGTCCATGAGAAGATCTTGAAAGAGAACGCAAAGGTTTCCATGGGTGAAGGAGGCTTTCCACGTCGTCATGGGGATTTTGAGCTTGAGGATCTGGTATTGAGGTAATTTTGTAGTATGGGAGAGATTACAGTATATCCTGAGAAGCGTGACAAGCTACATGGTGGAGCATTCTGACGAATATAGTGCTCGACAAGTCACTAGAGAATCGTATGTAATAATCGTGGATGAGCATTCACTGGACTCCTGAGCGATACAACGGGCAATGATACGACCTGTGAAGATGGAACCGAGAGATACATTGCGCGGAGACAAGTAGAAAGACTGGACGACACCACCTGTATGGTGTACCATGACTCGTTGGTCCAAAACTCAGATCTGAGATGAAGGTGATTATGCATCCAAAATGGCATACCTCCAAGAGCTTCCTAAAGGAAAGAGAAAAATCACGGGCTCGCCAATGAAAAGTCATGATACAGCTCTTGAGGGTCGTCCATGAAGGCCGAATGAGGGTTGGGGTGACAGCGGAACTGTCTTCTCAACCTGGTTATGCAATTGATCGTTGGTTGGTGCTTCGAACCATGAGTTCTTCAGCATGACTGTGCATCAATTCATCACCACTTCAAACCTCAGGCCCAGAACTCACAACTTACATAACCAATCTGATCAATCGGATTGTGGCTTGGCATCCTTCACCGTCCAAATTGATATTTTGGTGGTGCGGTTGACCATGGTATCCTATACCATTATGCACACACATATCAAGGAAACGTTGATCTGGTCGCCTTCTGGACCGATCATGGTCAGCTGCAATCTCACGGCCATCTTCTACCGGACCGAGGCAGTTGAAAGGCGGTGAAAATTCTCAGCTTCTCCAGAAGGGGCCTTCGGTCAACTGGTGTGAACGATATGATCTCAACCTGGTACTCTGTATTTTCAGAATTCAGTCACCAGGAATCTCAACAAAATGACGGTCGATGGCTTCTGCCGCATTTTGTTCTTAGCTTCGCATGCCCCTGGCAAGCGACTCGACGCAGAAACTTTTGCGCTAGGAAACTGTACCTGACGACTATTACGATAAGAGGTAAGCGTCCTAAAATGGCTGCAGCTTGCAAAGAATAGCAACGAATCGCGCTCGAGCGGCCCTCGATCTGCTTCATGGCACCCCCTACCAAGCCTGACACTCTGAACCTCATTCGCCTGTTGTGGAAACTGGACCCCGTTCAGTCCAATCCCCCCAGTACTGCAATTCCCAACCGCCTGGGATAATTTGCGGATCATGGAGTTTGGGAGATCGACTCCTGAACTGACACGCTGCGTCGACGGACTCCTAGCCTGTCGCTTCCCTGGTTTCCTTTTAATGGTGTCTGTCTCTCTCTGAATCATTTCTTGCTTCTCCTGCCCTTCACACACATCGTCGGTCCTTGTTGGAAAATCGCAGTCACTCCTTTACGCGATCTTTCTGCCTATAGTCACTCTTTTCTACCACAGAAACAGTCCTTATCTATTCTCATGCAATTAGGACAGTCACGCTTACGTTCAGCACCAATATAACCAGTCAATCTACCACAAGCCAAACCTCCCTCTATCTCAATTCGAAAAACCCTACTAGGTAGCCAAAAAGGTCAATATGCGTTACTTATCTACTGTTCTGGTGCTGGCCACCATGGCCATTGGCCAAGCCGTCGCAGGCCCTTTCAAGCACTCCCACTTCCATGCAAAGAAGGAAGCCGATCCTCTTAACCTTGAATCGTAAGCTTATCAACCACCAGTTCCTTCCCGGCGTATATGCTAATGGATAATTGAAGAACCGTTGTGAAGAGAAGCGGTGCTCTAACCGAGGGGCACTCAGTCAAGCTGCTCTCGGAAATGGCCTTCAGTGCTCTCGGCAAGAATTCTGAGCTCCCGGCCGATGGTGTCTGGCTCGGCGACAACGGTCCTTACACCAATGAATTCTGGAACGAGTCCGGCGAGGACCTTATCCTCGTCATCTGGGGACCTGAGGCCTCCTGGGTTAACGTCAAGCAACCCCTTATCACCGCCTCCATCGCCAACGGCTCGAGCACCACCGTCAGCTTCGCCTCCGGCCAATCAGGCGCCTGGTCTGCCATCTACGACGACACTGCTATGTTGAACGGCCAAATCTCTAACACGTGGGGCGAGTACACCTTCAGCCCCAGCGGCGTTGTGGATGTCAGCAGACTGCCCAACATGAAGGGCAACGCGATGACCATTGTTGGTCCTACCTGTGTCAGTGATATGACACGGTGTGTCTTCGAATGCCCTGAGGGTGAGGATATCTGCATGTACAACTACAAGCTCGTCAACTGCGCACCTGAGTCGCAGGTTGGTGCTCAGTTTGGCTATGATTATGGTGCTGCCAGTGGTGGATGCGGTAACCTTGGCGACAGTGCCCAGCTCAGCACTTACCTGTCGTAAACGAGAGCGGTGGAAGCTGTGCCTGATTACATCAATCTGATGCCGGACCTATCAGTTCATATTTGTTATGGATACCAAGGCATGGATAACATTTTCTTTTGTTGATAGCTTGGAGATGTGGGTACATATCAAATGATTTGAACCTTGGATTATTTTCCCTGCTGAAATGTCGATGGCTCATCAAATCAGTCCATTGCCCTGTTAGCTTATTTATTTACTGTCACACGTATTGTGAATATCTCACCAAAGCATTTTTCTGATCATTACCCACCATCTCAGCTGATTACACGTTTCAACTCGACCTTTACAGCATGGTCGTGCCCGCATTCTTTCCGCCTGTCAAGTCGCCCAGTTCCTCGGAAATGCCAAAGGACTTGGGTGGCGTTCGCCAGATCGACTCTGCATGTGAAGTCTATCTCGCAGCAAAGTTTCTTGCACCACGCCTTCTCTGCATGAACCTTCTACCGAGGCTTGTATGCATACTTCATTCTTTTAAGAATCTTGTCATGCGTTCTACGGTTGACATTTATGCTTTACAACATACCCTCCTCTTTACAGCAGCTTTACCATCCATCCCGGCCAGGTTCCGACCTCGACAAGCCTTTGATCTTTACCCAATTCCAAACACATCAAGTCTGCATCAATAGCTTTACCGGGAAGATGCTTCCCTCCTAGCCCTTCCAAACACCTTACCGGCATGACGTGCCTACCCTCCTGCTGTCGACACTGTACTTTCCCTCACAAAAGGCTGCCTCACATGGCTCCATCTTCCAATGCCATGGAATGGTAAACCCTTAACCCCCTGAAAGTTTCTGGTTATGACACGTTCTCGTCACCCCAGATGCTTCACCACCCACCCAGAGTTCATCTTGCAGATGGTATACCATCTGGCGCACCGCTCACCTCAACACATGGCTTTTCTGGAGTTTCTAATCTCCGCGCTGCAATACAGAAAATTCAATGGTACCAACCCGACCGTACAGTCATCAAAGCAGACCCAGAAATCTCCTTATCAGGTCACACTGCCCCAAACCAGACACGTTCTATCCATTCTCGTCTCAAAGCGCCGAGTCACAGAATCATCCTACGCCTTGCTGTTGTGACCTATTCCTTTGATATCACCCACCAAGTCCTCAAGTCATCAGGGAAAATGCTACATTAGACAACCCATCCCCCACAGAGCAGGCAAGCAGAGCGTCTCCCAGTCCCTGCGAACATGAAGGGGGAAATAAAAAAAGCTGATCTTCACTAATCACTCTCACTCCGCAACCCCTCGCAAGTCGTAAATCCAGCTTCTAGCCGAAGTCGTAGCGTCGCGGATACCATACCAACCCACTCCGGGGGTGGCTAACTTAGGACTGAATTAAAAAAGGCATGTTAAGCATAGAAAACCAAAATTCAACTCGAACACCCAGTTGAATTGATCGCACAACCCTAGGGGCTAGAATGGTCACGAGATGATTTGCCTGGATGGGGCAGGATCTAGCAATCTCTTCATATCCCTCTTTCTCCCTCTCCCTCTCCCTCTCCCTCTAGCTCTACTCAACAACCCCTCCCCCCCTTTCAACCCAAAACCAAACCCAAACCCAAATCCAAGCCAGACCCACCAGAAACCATCTCAACTCTCTAATAGACTTTCCCCTCAGCTCCCAGCGTATCCATCAAATCCAATAAACCAAATCATGGCCCTTCATTTGATTTGCTCATCTCTAATCCCAGAGCTCGATTTGATTTGATTTGATTTGATTTGATTTGACTCAACCAACTCATGTGTTCAAATGGAGTCAAAGGTTAGTTAGTAGTAACCAATATTTTTCTTAGAAGGACTGTCCCTCAAGGATGGATTTTTCATTTCACAGAAAGAGTCCGCCAAGACTTTTTTTTATCTTGTCATCGCCAAAAAAAAACAAGCCTGAATATAGAAATAAAAAAAGACCTTTCCGTCCGCCAAGACTTGCATTTGCCTAAGTAGTAATTTGTTCAAATTTAAAAAGTCTTGATTTGGTTTAACGAAAAGAACGGATTTGATTTACTACGTATCTGCTAAGCATTTGATTTGGGTTTATTTGACTTCAATTTGATTCAAATGGACACCCTGTTACATAGCTCCTTGCAGCCTCTCCAACTTCCTTTTCCTCTCTACTTTCGAAAACGGACCTTTTTCCGATTCAATTCAATGACAGGTTATCCGAGGCGGACGGACCGAGCACTGAAATACAGACCAAAATAATCAGTATTCCACAAGATGAAGTTTCCCCAGCTTCTTATCTGGTAGATTGAATGGAAGGGAAGCTGTATATTAAAGCAAAAGAGTTACTCCGTGATCAGGTGTTTCAATAGCGACAGACAGACAGACATACAGTTGGGTCAGACAGACGTAGATAGATTTTGTGGCTTTGCTCGCTTGTATGTACAATACACTAAAAAAACAAAAGATCAAGTATAGCACCGTCGCTGT